ACATGGGTAGTGAGCAGTAGAGCTGAGATTTGAACCCAGATATTCTGACTCCCATTTAGTATTCCTTCCTTCCTTCTGCTAAACTGTGTCCCCTTGTGAGGGTGAGTGACTTACCCAAGGTAAGACAGTGATTGATTTCCTTCTCAAAAGAGAGGATTTGAGAAGTCTACAGGGAAGATGGAGGACCAAGCTCTTTCCTCATCCCCTCCCAGGTTTCTCATGTCCCTCCTAGCACTGAGCCCCGGCCTTCATTGGCGTATTGATGTTGGAGTCTGGGTAAATCAACGTCTTTGGAAGATGTGGAAGTCCTTGGGCTGGGGAGGGGAGAGGACCGGCTTGGGGCAGTGGGTTTGCTCTGTCTCTTCTGGCATTCCTAGGACTTCAGGTGGCTTTGCCCTGAATAGATCTGAAAGGAGACACTCGCAGCCCCTTCTGTCTCCCTTGACTTCTGCCAGTCCCAGTTTCCTCATTTAAGGAGAGGAATGTGGGACAAAATGGGGGAGGGATGAGGTGTGAATGGTAGTTGTGTGTAGGGGCAAGATTCAGTTTCTTGGAAGGCAGAGGCAGACAAAGGTATTTTGTATCATCTAAGAGAAACTATGCTATGTTCCCTGCTAGCTGGGGGTGGGGACGGACAACCTGAATAGAAGCCTCTGTGTTTGGATCCTGAGTTCAGGGACACCAGGCTGGGAAGGCCCCAAGGCCTGCTGCTCTGCCTGGAGATGAACTGGGTCTAGGGTGTGGTCAGAAGCTAGTGTGCAGGGGGTGGAGTGGTGGTGGTGGTACGTGCACTTTACTGGCAGACCTCTGTGTGTGTGTGTGTTTGTGAATACAGCTATTGTGTTTGAGAATGCAGCTATTGGGTGTGTGTGTGTGTGTGCGTGCGCGCGTGTGAGTGTGTGTGTGTGAGAGTGTGTTTGTGAATACAGCTATTGTGTTTGAGAATACAGCTATTGGGGGTGTGTGTGTGTGTGTGTGTGTGTGTGTGTGTGTGTGTGTGTGTGTAGGGTGTAGGGCAGAAAGTTTTCCCAGCCCACAGAAATATCTGCCTTTAGGAAACCATATGACATTCTATCCTTTTTCGTGGCTTCCTACTCAAATGAGGAGAAAATTGACAAAATGGGCCAATTTCCCCTATTTTACATTTTCTGGTCTGGGTCAAATCTTAATGTAAAATTCAAGGTGGTAAAGAATTCACATAGGCCCAATTAAAAGCAAAATGACATGGATGTAGAACGTTGCCTACGTATTCAAATATTTTTCAGTCTTGCTTGGTTTTGCCTATTTTCTTCCCTATTTCCTTTTTTTCTTGAAAAAATATTGTTATATGAGCTAGCTCTTTGGAGGGAATGTGAAGGGATATATGAGGAAATTTAGGAATATAAAAACAATAATTAATAAAAATTAATTTTAGAAACCAGAGTAAGATGTATTTTGCTCAGTACTACTCACTGGTTTCTTACTTTTTGAATAGAATTACTAGAATACTTTTTGAATAGAAGATTTATTTGATGGAAAGGTCTTCCCATTGGATTTTTTCTTTAGGCTATGTACTTTTTCTCATTCATTGCATTCATTCAACAAGTATGGACCTAGCCTCAGACAAACTTGAGGGCTGTTAAACCTGAGGCCTGTTAAAAGGCCAAGGTCTCCCACTGCATCCAAGGCCATCTTTAGTCGTCCTAATCTATATGTTGCCACTGGACCCAGATGGCTCTGGAGGAGAGAGTGAGGCTGGTGACTTTGCACAGCCCTGCCTCACTTAAATCTGATTCACTTGCAAGTCATGACTTCACCTTCCTGATGTCATGGTCCTCTTTGAGAATGAAGGACCCCCCCCCCCCCCCCACCAAACAACAACAACAACTGCATCTTCCTAGAGGCGAGCCCTTCCTACTCACCTCTGAGTCAGAAGACCTCGTCAGTAGCTGGTGCAAAGCATTCTCCATTTTGCTGTACCTTTTGGTCTTTCCAGGATTATTGAAGATTATTCTTTGAACACCATGGTCCAAACAATCTAACCTAATTGTCATTTCCTGAATTCTGCATTCTACCTCACACCTCTGCGGTCTTTGTACCAATTACTCTCCATGCCTGGGATGTCCTGCCCACTTAGGAGTCCCCCTTAAGATGCCTGTCTTCTTCTAAAACTCAGGTCGTTTGTCTGCTCTTATAAGAAACCTTTCCTGATTTCCCTAGTTGTTAGTATAGTCTTCTTCAAATTACCTTAAGTAGAAAGATAGACATCTCTATATACATGATGCGTTCCTTTAGTAGAATGTAAGTTCCTTGAGAGCAGGAACTATTTTTCCTCTTGTCTTTGTATCACCAATGCTTAGGCCAAGGATAATTGTTTAATTAATTAATACTTATTGGATTGTAGTGATCCAATAGGGATCCAGTCAGGTCAGAGTTCTTATAAGCCCCACAGTATCAGCTCAGTAAGTACTTACTAAATTGAATGAAGGAGCGAGTCTTGGTTAATGCCTCAGGTGTCTTTCAAAATGCATTTACAAAAATCTTCTGTAGTTATTAGAGTAAAAGGCATTCCCTGGAGCAATGCTGACCCCTAGTGCCTTTCAGAGGAACTGGAGGATGTCTATTTTCTTTGGACCCACCAAGGACTTGAGACGAATTTCTAGAAGTTGGCCACCCTCCCTAGAGCGGGCTTAATCTTTTCCAGGGACCTCAGACCTTGAGACAGGAAGAGCATTTAGGTCCACAGGGCACCGCCAACCTTCCTCCGTCTAGAATACGAGGCAGTTTTCCCCAAAGCCCACTTTGTGTATTCTCCCTTCCCTCCCCTTTCCTTCTCTATCAAGTACTCTCCCCCCACCCCCTCTCCTAGTAATCATGTGTGGGGTGACCTAGGATTCCCCAGCTGAGGTCCCCTTGAAGTTCATCCAAGCCATTCTTCTACTTTTAGATAATAGGAATTTTGAATCATCCCAGAAACACGAGATGCCTCTAGTAGATTTCCATCAGACGACCTCCTTGTTTGGAAGATGTCCCAGTGTGGAGATTTTGCATCTTTGCTGGGGATTCTGCCCCTCATAGTCAGGACTTTGTCCCATAGGTTGCTCCCTTATAAGACATAGAGAATGGAGACAAGGCTGAAATCCTATTCATGCCTTAGTCCCAAGCTCAAATGTCACCTCCTTCTCAGAGATTTCACCTCCCTCCCCAGTCAGCAGTGTTCTTTCTTCCACAGATCTCACGTAGCACGCACTAATTTGTCTATGCATGTATGATGCTCTGTTTCTAAAATTAGAGTTTCTTGTATAAATGCCACCTGCCCCTTTACCCGATTGCGAGCTCACCAAGGGCAGAGATTGTGTGCGACTGCATTGGTGATGTAGTGGTGAGCATAACTGTTTTGCACATTGCAAGTTCTATGAGGGCAGGGACTGTATCTTATTTATCTTTATACTTCCCTCAGCACCCAACATTGTGCCTTATACATAACACGTGCTTAATGAATGTTGGTAACCCAAACCTTGTGGCTTCATGTGAATATAGCATTGTAAAGCATGAGAATCCTGACCAGTGAGTGTCCTCAGAGAATGCAAATCAATCAGAAAATGGTCAATCAACAAGCATCTAGGGGGCAGTGAGATGTTGCAGTGTATAGAATACTGAGTCTAGAGTTAGAAGGACCTGAATTCAAATCCTGCCTCAGATTTTTCTAGCTGTATCACCCTGGGCAAGTCACTTAACTTGTTTGCCTCAGTTTCCTCATCTGTAAAATGGAGATATCATCTACTTCCCAGGGCTGTCATGAGGTTCAAATGAGCAAAGCATTTAGCCCAGTGCCTGGCAAATAGTAAGCACCATATAAATATTAGCTATCATTATTTTATTAAGTGCCTATTACATTGTGGGTGCTCTGTTAGTCCTTGGTTACGAAAATAAATCATCTGCCTCTCCTTCCTTCACCATGCCACCCCCCCAGCCTTAGCAGGCAACTGCTCTATTCCCTCTGACTTTGGCCTAGTAGAACATAAACTGCCTCAGTTTCCCAACTAGGAGGTGTTTAGATTAGGTGATTTCTAAGGTTCCTTAAAGCTCTAGATCTCTCCTGTGATTAAGGTTGAATGGCCCAAGATTCCCCCCAATATGTTTTACCATTTGGGTCATTGACTTCCTTAATGGTCCTGGAAAACGATACTCCATCTCCTGACTCCTGGCTTTTTCACTGACTGTCTCCCATGTCTGGAATATTCTCCTTCTTTATCTCTGCCTTCAAGTCCCAGCCAAAACCCCCTCTTCTATAGGAAGCCTCTCCCAATCCTTTAATTCTAGTGTCTTCCCTCTGGCGATTATTTCTTATTGATCCTGTATGTAGCTTGTTTGTACATAGTTGTTTGCATGTCGCTTCACCCATCAGAATGCAGGGCAAGAGTGATCTTTTACCTTTTTTTGTATTCTAGTGCATGAAACATAGTAAGGTATTAACATTGTTTATTGGCTGATTGATCAACCATTCCTGCCTACTTGCTTTTGTTTATACCCTTCCCTCTTCCCCAGAACCTCTCACCTACTGTTTTCCCTTATCTCTTTCCATCTGGATCCTGCTCAGCTCAAAGCCCACTTCCTCCATGAAGTCTTCCCTGAATCCCCCAGTCCCCTCTGATCTTTCTCTCCTCTGAGCTTCCATAGCACTTATGGTCTGTATGACTTATTTAAAGCTTGGGAGGTGATACAGCACTTTAAGGGAATTGAGACCCAAGAGAGGTGAAGTGACTTGTCTGTGGTCACCCTACAGGTCAGTAGCATTTAAATCCAGGTGTCTTGACTCCAGGCCCAGATCTCTTGCCACCCCATCCTGGCTACTTTATATAATGTGTTTTTTTTTTCCATGTGTGAATGTTCTGTCTCTCCATCTGGACTGTAAATTCCTTGAAGGCAGGACCATGCCTTATTTTTCTTCCAGCTCTGCTGATGATCAACCTGGGTAGTCTTTAGTCTGAAGTCGCTTCTTTTCTTTGCTCTTTCCCCAGATACCACCATGGAGATGGTGCTGACCTTTCTATGCAGCCTGTTGGTTCCTCTGGTCCTCGCCAGTGGTAAGTGGACTCCTCCAGGACTGGGGTGGAAGAGGCAAGAACCTGCAATCCTTGTGTACCCCAGAGTTGCCTGCAGAGCTAGATGCTACCATGTGCAGCCTGGGGGTACTTCCCGCTGAGCAGGGGCTGGGAATAGAGTTCAGCTTCTATGATGAGACTCAGTGCTGGTCAACTTCAGTGGCCAGACCCCGGGTAGGATCTCTGACTCTGGGTTTTGTTTATGATAACTCGACATGCAGAGTTACAAAGAGGCAAATTTGTTGTAAGGAAACACTTCCAAAGAATCACAAAAACCCCAAATGGACCACCTTGACAGGTAGCAGGAGGTTCTCCTTTACTGCAGATCAAGTAGGGTCTGCGTGAGTTTGGCCCAGATGTTGTGGAGGAGATTCCTGGTCAGGTGTAGGCTATACTAGATTGGGGGTTCTTGGTTTTTAAATATTTGGGCAATTGTATTTCACTCTCATTGGTTTCATTATACATTTTAAACTACTATTCTGTGAAGAGGAAGAAAGGAAGAAAAAAAGGAAAGGAGAGGGAGAGAACAATGAAAGGAGGGAAGGAAGGAGAGAAGGGAAGAAGGACAAAGGAAGAGAAGAAGAAAAGGAACGAAGGAGAGAGGGATGAAGGAAGGGAGAGAGGAAAAGGAAGGGAAAGAGGGATGGAGGGAGGGAAGAAGGAAGGGAGGAAGGAAGGAAGGAAATGAGAAGCGAAGGAAGGAAGAAAGGGAAAGAAGTAAGGGATCCATGAGGAAAAAAAAAAGGTTAAGAACCCCTGGATCAGTGGGGCAGCTAGGTGACACAGTGGATAGAGCATAGCCCTGGAGTCTAGAGGACCTGAGTTCAAATCCAGCCTCAGACACATGATACTAGCTGTGTGACCCTGTTGAGGTGATTGCCTCACCAAAAAAAAAGAACCCCTGGACTAAATGATAACCCTGAAATCTCTTCCAATCCTCATGTTCTGTGATCACAGATCAGAAATACCTCTTCCTGTTTACAGCACAGGCCTGACACAAGGATCACATAAGATAATGTCTGTGAAATGCTGTGTAACCATAAGTGCTCTATAAATGAATTGTCCTCCCCCCTGCCCCTCCTCATGGCCTTGCTTGTGTTATGTTTCTAGCTGCTGATCAGAAGAAAGAGCAAGATCCTTTTCATTATGGTGAGCGCTGGCAACCCTTTGGGAGGGGTAAGGGGTGTAAGGGGGGATGAGGGAAGGTTTTTTTGGGGGGGTGACTTGCCTGAAGGGGTTTGGGAATGCCTGCCTGTGTCTCACCCTCCCTTCTCATTCATACCCGGCCTCTCCCTCTGCAGATTACCAGAGTCTGAGGATTGGAGGCTTGGTGTTTGCCGTGGTCCTGTTTTCAGTTGGGATCCTCCTTATCCTGAGTAAGTGATAAAGGGAAAGAGAGAAAAATAAGACTCCCCCTGTAATGGGTCCCCTTTTAGAACTCAAGGCTCAGCTGTTTCCTAACCGGGGTGGGTCTGTAGGGTCTGATCTAAGGGAATGGTGTTGCCCTGCAACAAAGAGGATTCTAAGGCAAAGACCCCTTCTCTGAGAACTCACTTGCCCACTGTCAGATCCCTCTAAGAGAAGCCTTGTGCTATTCTGGAAAGAGCGTTGGACTTACAGTCAAGGAGGGCTGAGGTTCCTTCCTATAACACTTACTAGCTCTGTGACCACAGGCAAATCACTTACTTCCCTGAGCCTCAATATTCTTATCTGTAAAAGAGGCATAATAATGCCAGTAGGACATACTTCACTGGGCTAGTACCATCAAGTGAAATAATGTTTGTAAAGTACTTTGCAGGCCTTAAAATTTCTTATGAGTTTCAGCTATTATTATAATAACTAGCATTTAAAGCACTTTATATGTGCTATCTTGTTTCATCCTCATAGTAACACTATGAGGCAAGTGCTATTATTTTCATCCCCATTTTATAAATGAGGAAATTGAGACTGAGAAATGCAAAGTGTCATGCCCAGGATTCAACAGCTAGTAACTATCTGGGGCAGAATTTGAACTCAGGCCTTTCTGACACCAAGTCCAGGGCTCTATCCATTGGACCACCTAGCTGCTTTTTAAAATTGTTATTGTTGTTATTATTATCCCCACCATTTGAACAGGCCTCCTCCTGTAGTTGAAAATGTCTTATATTCTTTTCTACATCTGTTGAAATCCTCCTCATCCCTCCAGGCCCAGCTCAAGTCTGACTGAGTCTTGTGAAGCCTTCCCTGATCACTGATCATGCCAGCCTGCAGGGTTTTCTCCCTCTTCTGAACTCCTCTAGTTTTAATGGTCTAGGACAGTGGTTCCCAAACTCTTGGAATATGGGGAAGCCTATTGAACATTTAAAAAGCCATGTAGCTCCATGTGAAAACAATTGTTTCTTAGCATCCGATAATTGAGAAAACACAAAATGGCAAAAAGCTGCCCTGAGCTCAGTAACTCACAAAATGAATGTGCTGCATTCATCACAGCAGCATCTAGACACATATAAAAAATAGGATGCTCTTGTATGTGATATGAGCAGCTAGATGGCACAGTGGGTAGAGTGCTAAGCCTTCTGTCATGAAGACTCATCTTCCTGAGTTCAAATATGGCCTCAGACACTTCCTACCTGTGTGACCCAGGGCAAGTCACTTAACCCTGTTTGCCTCAGTTCCTCATCTGTAAAATGAGCTGGAGAAGGAAATGACAAACCACTCCAGTATCTTTGTCAAGAAAACCCCAAAAGGGGTTACAAAGAGTCAGACACGACTGAAATGACTCAACAACAACAATACTCCTCCCTTTTCCGACTACATATCTATGTGAGACCAGATTTTCTTCATTTACCTCAACCCAAATAACAGACGGCAACAGATTGACTGGAAGAACAGACCTAAGAATCCAGATATCTTCTAGCAAGGCAGACGTTAGAGATTTGCAAAAATATGCAAAACAATGCCACTTGAATTTTTTTGTTTTGGAAAGTGTAGTTATTTTTATATGTAGTTACATAAGTATAATTATTTTCATAAAATACATCATTTATGTTAACATGTAATAGATTTATTATTATTTTACATTAATAAATAAGTACTTTAAAATGTATCAGTTTCAATGTTCAATACTATAAATATGGATAGATATAACCCAAATAAATAAAAACTATTTGGTGCCCTTAATAATTTTTAAGAGTGTAAAGGAGTCCTGAAACCAAAAAAGCTTAAGAACCAATGCTGTAGAGTAGAGGTATCAAATAGGCAGCCCTGTAACACTCTGGAGGGTGGCCTGAACTGGATTAAAATGTCATTGGGCAATATTTAACAAAATAACTAAAAATACAGTAGAACATAGGTGATGTTAATATGTGGTTTTCTAAGTCAGTAAGTGGCCATCCAAGATCCTTCTGTATGGTTTAGTGGTCCTTGTTTTTATTTGAGTTTGAGATTGCTGGAGTGGAAAGACAACCACAAAAAACTGGGTTCAAGTTCTGCCTTTGATACCTACTGGCTGTGTTACCTTGGGCAAAGTAATTAACCTCTTAGTGCTCTTGGCAATTCTAATATTATAAATTTTGGAGAAAGCATTTCCTCATCTGGGAATTTCTATACTAATGAAATCAGAAGTCCAGTCCCTAACTGGGGATTGTTTTGTTTTGGATTAAACCTGTGAATTCACTGGGATAAGGCATGCCCAGTGAGGATACCCATCGTCAATGCAAATCAGCACCTTTCCTGTGACTATAACTCTTTGAGGAGTTGGCTGGGCCCCTGGCGTAGGCCACAGAGTATAGACAAAGGCAAAACCTGAAGCCAGGTCTTCCTGAATCAGAAGCCAGTTATTTGTGGATTCAGAGGCTCCTTGCTATTACTCCTTGGCTTCCAGGTTGCCTTACCTTATACTCTTAGTTAGCTTTTCATGTCCTAATATGTGTAAGATGCATTGTAAACCCTAAGACTTTAGTCTCATATAAATGTTAGTTATCACCATCACCATCGTCAATCTTGTCTTCTCAACTGGAGTCTCAGTATTTGGTGTCTAGCATATTGTAGATATTAAATACATATTTATTGGTTACTTGATTGAGTTAGATCATAGGATTTGGAATATGAAGTAACCCTAGAAATTCCCTAACCAAGACATTTAATTTTACAGATATAGAAAAGAAATTAAGTGACCAAGTGTGGGTAGCAGAATGAACACTGGATGTAGCATCAGAAGGTCAAGGTTCAAATCTCAGCACTCCCCTAGCTACCTGTGTGGCCTCAGACAATTCACTTCACCTCTCCTGGCCTCACTTGCCTATTTGTAAAATAAAAGAGTTTGAAATGGATGGCTTCTTCTGGCCCTTCCAGCTCTAAATCTATGATTCTGTGAATTAAAAGTGACTTGCCCAGAGTCATACAGAAGGTGACTAACCAGGAGTTAACGTGAAATCCAGTGTTTTTATCAGTACACTTTGCTGCCTCTACATTTAAATGGCCTAGCACTTAAGTGGGATAGGATGGAACAAGGGTTGAGAAACACCAGGTGAACTAAAACAAGAAGACATGTGCCATTCTTCACATCTGTGTATAGATGGCATGTACTTGTTTTTATTTTTCTAACAGTGGCAGTGGTTTGTACTAAGCCTTACAGAATTTCTCTTGCTTTATTCCCCATAATGAACAGTGGCGCATATATATATATATGTATGTATATATATAAATGTATGTTATGTATGTGTATATATGTATGTGTATATATACACACACGTGTGTATGTATACACAGATATACATTTTTATGTATACACATGCATGCATGTATATACATACATGTGTATATATATGTGTGTGTTTATATATATATATATATAGGCTTATAAGAGAATGGAACCCATTTGTGCCCTTAGCCTCAAAAATATTATTCTTAAGCCAATGAGGAAGGCAGTATGTTGTAATGGAAAGAATATTGAACCAGGAAGTTTGGCGTGGGTTCTAGACCCAACTCTGATATGTGCCCTGGTACAAGTCACTTCTCTCTGGGCACTAGTTTCCTTGAATGTAAGATGGAGTTAGACTAGGGGAACTCTAAAGCCCCTCCGAATTCTAACATTATATAGTTTTATGAACTAAAGCCAAAACAACAGAATCACAGAGTCTCAGAGTTGGAAGGGACTCCAGAAGTCATTGAATCCAACTCATACCTGAACAGGAATCACCTTTTTGATATAGCTAGTGGTCATTCAAACTCAGTTGGAAGACTTTCTGTAAAAGGGAAACTCACTGCCTTCCTAGGCAATGCATTCCACTTTTAGTCAACTTCAAATATTAGCAGAATTGTTTTTTTTTTAAGCAATTGAAATCTGTAACTTCTATCCATTACTTCAGGTTCTGCCTCCTGGGGCCAAGCATAATAAGTCTAATACAGGGGTGGGGAACCTGTGACCTTGAGGCCACATGTAGCCTTGTAGGTCCTTGGGTGCCGTCTTTTGACTGAGTCCAAGTTTTACAGAACAAATCCTTTCATTAAGGGGATTTGTTCTGTGAAGTTTGGATTCAGTCAAAGGGCCACATTCAAGGACCTAGGCCACATGTGGCCTCAAGGTCACAGGTTCCCCACCCTTGGTCTAATCTCTCTTTGATACTACAGTCTTTTAAATACTTGAAGAGAGCTATGTCTCCCTTAATTCTTCTCAAAGCTAAAAATCTCTAGTTCCTTCCATTTGTTCTCATGTTACATGGCTTTAGTTCCCTCACTGTCCTGGTTGCCCCTTCTATGGATGCACTCTTTTCTTAAATGTTATAACCACAACCATGCACAATAATACAGTTGTGGCCTCATGGGACAGGGTACGTTGGGAGTCTCATCTACCACAATCTGAAACTTGGATGATTTTGGATTTTTTGTCTATTTCCTCTTAGGTCGGAGATGCAAATGCAGCTTCAATCAGAAGCCCAGGTAATGCATGCACTGGGATGGTGAAACCTGAAATGATTGGGAAGAAGCCTGGTATATTTGGATTGATCCCAAAGCTGTCAAGTCCTTCTACCCTTCTAAGTCAGACCCAGGCAGGGGAGTGGGCGGAAGTGCTTAGTGAAGATGGGGAGAGCAAAGAACTTCAGCCTATGAAAAGTAACAAGATCTGCTACCGTCTTGAAGCTAGAGGATACAGGACAATGCAACTTACAGACAGGAGAGTGGAATAGTTTTAAAGATTCTCTCTACCTCCATTCTTGCCAATCTCCCTTCTCCTTGGCTTGGGGTGCTTTCTTAGAGGAACACCACCAAATTTCAGGGACCTTAGCCTCCTTGAGATGTAAGGAACCTGGGAGACTATTTCAAAGAGCTATGTTCCTCTCTGCTCTTCCTTAGACAGACTAGGTTTTCAGATCAGCCAAATGAAGACCCAAGAGGGTGAGCCTGTCAAATCCTGTTTTTGTAAGCCTGCAATATACTCTCCTGTGCATCTAACAGCAGGAAAATTGTTGGGCATCTGTGCTAGGAAAAATAAGTGGTTACAGAGAGGAGATAGATGTGTCTAGAGAGGATAGGACTAGTTAGGAATTCCCTTAGAAATGTGGTGAGTTAATGTAATAAAGAGACACTGAGGTACAGACTCTGAGCTAAATCAGCTTATTAACAGTGATAGGTGTAATTGTGAACAAAGAGGGTCACTCTGGCAACTTCAGCAAAGCCAGCAACCCCAGAGAAGGAGGGGATCTTCTTTATTAACACATAACAAAGAAAGGGTCTTGTTAGGAGTGGAGAAAAGGTTGTAGGGGTGGGGCAAGAACATTATTAGGATGGTCAATTGAGAAAGGTGGGCTAGCATTCAGGTAAGGCTAATCACTCCCCTCTCCAACTATTGAGAAATGTTAATTGCTTTATGGGGTCCATGTGTATCTTGAAGTCTTTGCTCGCGGATCACAACTAACAGACTTGCTGTCTCCTTGGTTTAAAAACTCCCCTAACGACCCAAAAACAGGAAAGGACAGACAGCTTATCTTTTGGGGATGGCAATTTTGAGGGGCTAAACAAACAAATATCTGTGAAGTATCCTAGGGGATACCAGCATGAGACAGAACAACTTTTCTTTATGGCTCAGCTGCATTCCTGAACTCAGCTGGAGCCAGGTGGATGCAGACCCAATTATAAAGTTATTGTAGCATGAATCAGTTACATTGTAGAATCAATACAGTAGAAATCAATACAGAAGAAATTAGAGGTAATATTAATTTTGATCTTTTCATAGAAAGTAGCAATAAAAGAGAGTGCCTTTCAAGTACGAGGACTGTTTGTTGTTTTTTGTGACCCCAGTACCCCACAAAATGCCTTACGTGTTGTAAGTGCTTAATAAATGCCTGTTGACTGGCTGACTTTGAAAGTTCTTGACCAGGTATGTTCTATAGTCTTTGCTCTGTATTTGAAAAACATCTGTGTCTGGTCTGACAGACTCTATCAGTTTGCTTTCAGTGCTCACTCTCTCTTGGGCTCCAGGAGGGATTTGTTCAGTGCCCTTAGATGACCACCACATTCTGCTCTTAAGTGCCTCTGTTGGAGGATCTGTAGGTTGAGGAAGGGGTGCCTGGAGAACCTATCTTGGGACAACGGACCGATGTTATGACTTCTCTTTCAGAGCTCCTGGAGATGAGGAAGCCCAGGCGGAGAACCTGATCACTTCAAATGGTAACTTTTCATAGCTATCTGATCACAGTGAGGAGGGAAGGGGTAGAAAAGAGCAAGAAGAACACGGTAAAAATAAAACAAAAAACCCTAAGAGTTTTGTATATAGCAAGTCACTGTGAGGTGTGTATGGAGGGGGTGGGACAGGGACACCCTCCCCAGAGCCGGCTGGGTGTGTCTCCACAATGCCAGTCACCAGCAGCATCTCTACTGCCTCAAGTCACTTTTGCTCTCTCTTGTCCCCCTCCCCGCCATTGAAAGCCAAAACAGGTCTCCTGCAGTCAGACATTGGCAGAAGCTGGCAGTACCTCCCTGCTGTTCGGTCTCTTCTGTGTTATGCTTTAAGTTCTTTTTTCTTTTTAGCCACAGAACCACAGAAAGTCGAGAACTGAGGTGTACAGACGTCAGATAAGAAGGTGAGCCCCCTTCCCACCTTTCATTCCAGCCTGTGATGGCATTGAGGCAGGACTAGTCAGCTAGGCAGGGAATGTTAAAGTAGACCCCTGGAGAGATACAGTCTTAAACTAGTATCTGGGAGAGTTGGGGGGAGGGGGATGGATACAGAGAGTGGAGCTAGAGTTAGTCCTGCCCTGAGAGAACTCTGAGTCTGAGAAGAAAGGATAAGTGGCAGACACCGAAAATTACTAAAATTTGTGAATACTGTAAACTCTCTAGCATCATATAAGTAGGGTACTCTAGATAATCCATTATGTTATTTCATGGGGAGTTAGCAATGATTCTGTAGATTTATCATTTTTTGAAGTCTTAGAATGCAATGCCACGTCTAATACTGAAGCAATGCTGAAAACAATTTAACCTTTCTTCGAAGATTCAGGAGGCACTTTGGGTGGGTTCTCAGAGTCACCTCAGAGCTAATTGTAGTAGACTGGAAGAATGCGGAACAGGAGATCTGGATTTGAGCCCTGTCTCTAACACTAACTATGGAACCACAGACGAATCTCAGTTTCTTCACTAGTAAAATATGAATAATGTTCATCATATAGTAATCTGTCCTTTATATGGTACAGAGCTGCATACATGAGACTTTCTACTTTTACAACATTAAGTAAACCAACTTTTATTACAACTAAAAATGCCATATAGTTATCAAAATTCACTTATTTAAAAATAACATCCATTGTCTCCCCACAATTCCATAAGGTTGGCAGGGATCACAAATACCCATTTTATAGATGAGGAAACTGAAGCCTAGGAAGGCTGAGTGATTGCAGATCCATAACTAGGGAAAAAGTTTTGCCCCAAGGTGCCAACATCCTGGGGGGGATGTGCACTTTCTCCCCATATGCAGACATGCATATGATCCTTCACCCTGCCTTGGACTGAAACATCCTGTGTTGTGCTGTGCTGGATCTCCTCACCCGGGACCTGCTTTCCTCCACACTATCATTGCATACACTACCTCTCTCCCTATTTATCACTTCTCTCTTCCAACTCCTCTCAGGGGTCAGGAGTTTGGGGGTCAGTCATCAGCCATGCACAGATCAGACTCTCTTGGAATAGGCCACTCACTGTTGGTACAACCGCACCCAACCAGGGCAGAATGCTCAGGGTAATCGTGAAGCTCAAATTAGATAATAAATATATAAAGTGCTTTGCAAACTTAAAGTGCAATATTATGTGCTGTTGTTGCTGTTCAGTCATTTTTTAGTTGTGTCAAACTCTTTGTGACCCCATTTGGGGTTTTATTGGCTAAGATACTAGAGTGGTTTGCCATTTCCTTTCATTTTACAGATGAAGAAACTGAGGCAAACAGGTTAAGTGACTTGACCAGGGTCATAGCTAGTGAGTGTCTGAGGCCAGATTTGAACTCACAAAGATGAGTCTTCCTGACTTCCCCTGGCACCCTATCCATTGTGCCACTTAGCTGCTCTTAATATACATACTATTATTACTAATATACTAATTACTTACTATACTATTATTTTAATATACATACTATTATTACCAATATACTAATCACTAATATACTATATGTATATTACTAATATCCATATTATTATTATTATTATTATTATTATTATTATTATTATTATTATTGTTATTATTATTATCTTATAAAGTCAAAAGAAGTCTTTTTCTCCTCTCTTTTTACAGCCACCAATCCCTAACGACCACTGCGCAACCCCATAGATACCAACGTTGATGCTTAAAAAACCTGGAAACCACAGCAACAAAACCTTTCCCAGGAGAAGCCAAGAAGTCATGTGTCCATTCCCGTCCATTTCCTCCCAAACCGGTCCATGACTTTGCCAGACAAATTGATGCTCGTGCCCTCGTTAGCCCATTGTCCTGTCTAACTCGTGTGATGTGTCCGTGTGTGGGTGATCAGCATGGTCTTTGTGGCTCGATGTTTGTGGACGATATCATGTCCCTAGTAAAACTTGGACTAACTTCCCCCAGGGTCAGAAGCTGGGTCATCCATCCATCACCATGGTCTCCTCCTGTTTCCCAAGGGATCAAGCGGTTCTTTGTCTTGATTTGTATGGATAAAGAAGGGCGGGAGATACCTTTCTGTCTAGTTTAAGTCTCCCAGAGGATGGAAGGGTGGGTGATATATGCAGTGCTCTTACTTTGTGGCCTTTCACCTCTCATGCTTCTTCCCCACCTGTACAGCTCAGTATTCTGCCCTTGGGCCTGGTCTGAGAATGCCTAAGTGCTGGTCACAAGCCCAAGGCAAACTCGGAGCTGCAGCTCTTGCCTCTGGGGAAGAATGGTCCCACTTTCCCTTTTCTCAGAATCCTAGACATTGAGATGTCATCTAGCTAACCCCTTAACTAGTGCAATAATTCTCCCTACAACAGTCCTGACATGTGGTCTATCATCTAACCCTGCATGAGCACCTTGAGTGCTGGGAAACTAGCAACTGTTCCAGGCAGGCTGTGCCATTACTGGATTGTTTTAATTGTTAGAAAGCTTTCCCTCATATTTTGAATCAAAGTCAACTCACCTCGACTCCATCATGGGTCTGGCCTTTATCTCCCCTTTTTTTTCCTTGCTGGCAACTCCTATCATGGTCCTGCATTTGCCACGCCCCAAGCTGGGAAAAGCCAGAGTGTCACAGTGACATTTAGACAAAGCCTGTCTTTCCTCCCCGACCCCCACACCCCACCCCAATCAAAAAGAAAGTGGAGGTTTTGAGATTCTGTGGATAGTTTCTTGTCTTGATTTTCAGAATCTCAGCAATAGCCCAGCATCTCTGAAGCCAACACTATTCCCAAATCCAAATCTTGCTCTTGGGACTCCAATTTTCTTCTCCTGGTTTCAGCTAAACTCAGAACTTCTGTCCCTTGTTTAGTGTGAAACAGGGGTTGTGGCAGGAATTGATTATTGTGGTTTACTGGGGGCACTTGGTCTCCCCGACCTATGGAGGCTATCTGTTCCCCGTTATCATCTTCTCTGCTGTGAATGAGCAGTGCTAGAGTGAAAGCTAGAGCTGGGGAAAGAGAAAATGTGGGGGTCAGGGGAGATAGAGAGGAAGAGAAGAGAAGAGAAGAGAAGAGAAGAGAAGAGAAGAGAAGAGAAGAGAAGAGAAGAGAAGAGAAAGAGGGTCTCCTATCCCACCAATCACCCTGACTTTGATCAAGGCACCTTCCGATGCCTTTTTCTTAGTATCAGCCCTTCTATGTTTGCTGTGCACACTGCCTCCTGTACTCAGAATGGTGGTGGTGGTGGTAGCTTAGGTGGAGACTGCATGAGGTGGCTGTTTTTGTTCTCTCAAAAGTCTAGTCATTATTGCCCAAATATGTGTCATAACTGGTGAGACCCTGAGTGTTGTAATGTGAATGGGAAAAAAAAGCCACAATCTGCCTCCCCACCACCCTTGTGTTCTTGTGGAAATTGAGCAAACCGTTGTATTCTGTATTGTGATCTAGATTCTCCTGAAGAAAAAAAAAGAATAAAATATCATTTCTATCCAAGAAACCTCAGACCTTTTTATTTTATTTTATTTTATTTTATGTTATAGAAGAAGGTACTCATGTATTGGGAAATATTTTGCTTAAAATGCCAATAGGTCTTTGCCTAGGAAAGAACTTAATAAATGTGATTGCTGAGCTACTATCAAGAGAGGTGTGGTATGGAACTGGAACTGGGCAAATGCTTCAAAAAGGATAAGAAGATTCTTCAGACCATGAACTGATGAATCTGCCTTCCAATTCCCAACAAAATTTTAGAATGTACTATTAAGAGGATGGATTATGACCATTTTGAAAGAGAAGAATTGGTCACTAAAAGCCAGTGTGAATTCATCTAGGACAGGTTACACTAGAAGAACCTCATTATTTTTAGATATGGTTATTCAACTAGTATACCAGGGGAAATGACATAACCATAGTATATTTGTGTTTCATCAAGGTATTTAATAAATACTCTCAGAATGTTCTTTTGGACAAGAAAAAGAGATGTGAGGTAGACAATAGTAGAGTTGGGTGGGCTCTAAACTGATTGAATCAGAGTGTTCTGGTGGATGAGGAGAGATATTAACCTCCTCTTCATCAATAACAATTATCATGAAAAAAAAACCAATTATCCTGAATTCTAGTGATAAATACAGTGGATCATATTTTCTGGATTTATAATATTTACCTTGATATTTAAACTGTCTCTATTGCCTAATTTCAGCTGATCCAGTTGCTTTTTCTTCAATTATGTATTTGTCCATCAAAAACAGCTATTATTTTACTTTTAAAAAATTAACAATGATGGAAATTTCATTGTTATAAAATTTAAACATTTATCTGAGTTATTTCAAATGTTTTAAAAGTTGCAGGTTGTAGAAAGTATTATATCGTAGGTAACAAGGTGAATTATGTTTTTCTTTTCTTTTTAAAATGAATCTATTTCTCCCACTACCTCCTTCCCATTAGGCAAATGACAAAAACAAATCCCCAAAATAAAGCTCTCAAATACATAGCTGCCTAGTCCTGCCAAACAAATCCCCAAATTGTCCATGCCTGAATATGTATGTCTCTTTATGCATCTTGAGTTCATCATCTCTCTGCCAGGAGAAGAGTGGGATGTCTCCTCTTCACTCTTTTGGATTCACGGTTCACTGTTCTGCTGATCAGAGTTCCACAGTCTTTCAAAGTGGTTTTTTGCTATTGTGCGGTCATGATATAAATTCTACTTCTGCTCATTTCTCTCTGCATTGGCTCAGAGACATCTTCCCAGTTGTCTCTGGAACTGTCCATTTCATATGGCACAATAGTATTCCATTAGATTAATAAACCATAATATTTTTGGTCTTTCCCCAGTAGAACAGCCCCTCAGTTTTCATTTTGAAGCTATCATGAAAAGAGTTACTAACTATGACTATTTCTTAACAAATAGGCCCTTTTCCTCTTTTTTTGATTTCGTAGGAGTAGGGGGTGGTGTTGGGCCTAACATTGGTATAGCTGGTTCAGAGGTTAGGCACAGTTTGGTAACTTTCTGAGCATAATTTCAGATTGCTTTCCAGGATGGTTAAACCATTTCAAAGTTCCACAAAAGGTGCACCATTTCTTGTACCATTTTTCTAGCAATCCCTCCAACATTTGTCATTTTTGACAGTCTGATGAATATAATGTGAAACCTCAAAGTTAATTTTAATTTGCATTTCTCTGGTTGTTGATGATTTAGAACATTTTGGAAAATGGGGTCATAGGTAACTTGGATTTCTTCCTTTGAAAACTGCTTGTGCATATCCTTTAGTCACTTTTCTAATGAGGAATGACTCTAAGTCTTAAATTTTGAATCAGCTTCTTATATAACTTGGAAACAAGACTTTTATGAGAGAAATTTGTTACAAAGATTTTCCCCAGTTGCCTATCTCTTTTCTAATTTTTAGTGCAATTTTCCAATTGTTTGTGCAAAAACTTAATTTTTATAGTCAAAATTGTCTATTTGATCTTGTATGATCTTCTTCATTGTTTGTTTAGTCATGAGATTTTTTCCCCTCTCTATAGATGCAAAAGTAATTTCTTTCTTGCTTCTCTGATTTGTTTGTGATGAAGCCTTTTATTTCTAGGTTATGAATCCACAGGGAGTTTATCTTGGAGTATGGTGTGAAATGTCAGTCTAAACTTAATTTCTCCAAAGCCACTGTCCAGTTTTTCCAGAAACTTTTGAAAAGACAATTAGTCTTTCCTCCAATAACTGTGGTCTTTAAAGGTTTATTGATCAATGCTAATGTGCTTATTTGTTTCTGTTATATTGTGTAGTTAATCTGTTTTATTGGCTTCTTTCTTTTTCAGTCTATACCATATTGTTTTAGTAATTAAGGAGGAGAACATTTACAGACTGCTCTTTCTGGACAGCTATTTGATGCCAGTCCTACAACCTCTAAAGGCTTTTCCCTCTATGTCACATTAGAAAAGAAGTCCCACACTAATGCACTGTTGGTGGAATTGTGATGTAATCCAACCATTCTGGAGGATAATTTGGAACTATGCCCAAAGGGCTATAAAACTGTGCATACCCTTTGACCCAACAATACCACTTGTAGGTCTATATCCCCAAGACATCCAAAAAAGGGAAAAAGACTTATTTGTACAAAAATATTTATAGTAGCTCTTTTTGTGGTGGCTAAGAACTGGAAATCAAAGGGATGCCCATCAATTGGAGATTGGCTAAACAAACAGTTGTATATGACTGTAATGGAATATCATTGTGCTATAAGAAATTTCAAGCAGGATGATTTCAGAAAAACCTGGAAAGACTTACATGAACTGATACATAGTGAAGTGAACAGAACCAGGAGAACACTGTACATAGTAACAGCAATATTGTTCGATGAAGAACTGAGAATGACTTAGCTATTCTCTACAATACAATGATCCAAGACAATTCCAACAGACTCATGGTGAAGCATACATCCACCTCCAGAGAAAAAACTGATGCTTACTGAATACAGACTGATGCATGCTATTTTTCACTTTCATTTTTTTCTTTTATTTGAAACTTCTCATACAAAATGACTAATATGTTTTACATAATTGAAAAAAAAAGAAAGCAAAAAAGAGAAAAGAAGTCCTGGGTATGGCTTGAGATTCAAGGGCTGGGAGCAGCTGGAGGTCTCTTAGGTACCTGGACTTGGCTGAGGATTTTGGAGAAGAGGGGCCAATCTCTTCTGGCATCTTATTCTTCTTTAACTTGGGCTTTCTTGGGATATCGGGTTGCTCTTCCATGCAACCCTGCAAGACTTTGAAAGGAAACACACCCAGTCCCTTCGGCCTCCTCTGCCTTCCACCAGCCCCAGTGACTCCCCAGCTTAAGGAGGGGAATGTAAAACAAAATGGGGAGGGTTGTGATGTGAATGGTAGTTCTGTTTGTGTGGAGAAGATTCAGTTTCTTGGGAGGCAGAGGCTGACAAAGGTATTTTTTAATCATCTAACAGAAGCTATGTTGTGTTCCCTGTTGGAGATGGGTGGGGAGGGAACAAAAACCTCTTTGTTTGGTACCTGAAGACAGGGCAGGGCTGCTGCTCTGTCAGAATCAGTTTGGAAGGGGTGTGTGTGTGTGTGTGTGTGTGTGTGTGTGTGTGTGTGTGTGTGTGTATGTGTGTATGTGGAGAGAGAGAGAGAGAGAGAGAGAGAGAGGTACTCTCCAGTAAAATTAACAGTTTTTTTGGAATGAGGATTTCTTTCAGAATTTTGTACATAAAATTTAATTTACATATCATGAACTTACATAAAGTGAGAACTGTTTGTGTATCATTTGACACAAAGAGCCAGTATGTTACCAAAGAGCTACTTCTTTGTTACCCATAGGACGAGTAAAATGAAGTTATTCTCTAAATCACCTAATAAGCAGGGAGGATTGCAGAGCAGGGCAATAGGAATGATGGTTTAGGGAAGTAGAAAAGTGAGACCTAACAATAACCAATCCGGTATGAAACTGAAAAGGTAGACAAGAGTCATCTCAGTTAAATCATTTCTCACAGGTCAACAATACTGTCACCAGAACTGAGCTCTCCCAGTGCTCATCATCCTGATCAAAGCTCTCCCATCCAGTGCATGTATATGGATATTAAAGGAATTAGTGAACTGGTGCTGGATACATTGGAGCATCCATTGGATTATGGCTATGCCTCTCATACAGAAGGCCTGGGTTTGGAAGGCACTTCAGGTCCACCCATTCAGATGTTCAGGTGACAGAATCTGCCTGCTGCCGAAGTTAGTTGCTGTTGCTGCTTTTGGTTGAATGAAGTCCAGGAAGGAGTTCAGAATTGTTGGTCCCACAGCTATGTACCTGACGGAAAGAACAGAAACACAAAAGAGTCCCTGTGAAAAGTGGGATAACCTTCATAGTGCTGCCTGGACCTGGTTGCCTCCATCCTATGATGATAGCCAAGGTTGAAGGTCAAGGAGAAATCAAACAGGCCAACAGGTACAATATGAAGAGTTATAGAATCTAAATTAATTCCTACCCATGGAAATAAAACAAAAAAGGGTGTAGGTTAGTGCCTAGGGTTCTCCCTACCAGTTCACATCCTCCCTATCTCATTTTCCTTTTCACCAGCCTTTAGGTAGACTGTTCAGTGGAAAGTATTCACAATGTATTAGGGGCTTCAGGGCCAGGAGCTTATTCCTGGTGTTCTTGGGGATGTCTCTCTGGGTTCCTGCTGTTTGTGCCCCTAGAAACTTGTCTTGTTGGGACAGTTCTTGTACCTGCTGGGTTAATTGCTCACCCATTTTTTCCAATTGGTCACTCAGAGTGGTCAGGGCGGTGCTCTCTTTTGTTGTTCCCACTTTCAGTTGTTCCCACTATAATAATATCATCAATATAGTGGAGAACATGTCAGAGTCAAGTTGAAGCTTGACCAATGTCCATTCCACATATTTGTACCAAATGCCAATTCTATTAAGATATCCTTAGTGCAAGACAGAAAAGAGCAGTATGTTCCCCGCCAAGTGAAAGCAAGTTGAACTTTATCCTCTTCCCTT